TCTGAATAAACCTACATTCAAAGCTAATTTTGAAGTATTACAAAGGGTTCTCTCAAAACTGGGTGACTTGGAAACCTAAAAAGCAGATAAAAATCAATGTTGATAAATGCAAAATAATACACTATTAAAAACATAATTCCAACTATCCATACAAAATGATGGGGTTTAAATTAGCTGTTACCACTCAAGAATCAGATCTTGCTGAATAAACCTACATTCAAAGCTAATTTTGAAGTATTACAAAGGGTTCTCTCAAAACTGGGTGACTTGGAAACCTAAAAAGCAGATAAAAATCAATGTTGATAAATGCAAAATAATACACTATTAAAAACATAATTCCAACTATCCATACAAAATGATGGGGTTTAAATTAGCTGTTACCACTCAAGAATCAGATCTTGGAGTAATTGTGGATAGTTCTCTGAAAACATCTGTTCAATATGCAGTGGCAATCAAAAACCCAATGTCATTAGGGAAAGGAGATAAGACAGAAAATATCAGAATGCTATTATATAAATCCATGGTACATCTACCCTTTGAATACTGTGAGCAAGAAATAGTAGCCCTAACCCAAAAAAGGTACATTAGAATTGGAAAAAGTACAGAGAGGGACAACAAGAATGATTATTAGAGCTACTCCATATCCTGATGAGAAAAGATGAACACAACTGACACTGTTCATCTTAGGCAAAAAAAAACACCTAAAAGGCAATACAGAGGTCTGTAAAATCAGGAATGTTATGGAGAAAGTGAACAGGAAAGTGTTATTTACTCCTTCCCATAACACAAGAACTAGGGGTCACCCGATTAAAATAATAGGCAGCAGGTTTTAAACATATGCTAGAGAGTACTTCTTCACACACACAGTCAGCCTGTGGAACTTGTTGTCAGAAGATGCCTGAAAGTCAATGTATAACTGAGCTCAAAAATAAAATTATGTGAGTTCATGTAGTACATGTCCATAAAGGACTATTAGCCAAGATGGTCAGAGATGCAGCCCTATGTTGTGGGCATCCCTAATTCTTTGACTATTAGAAGTTTGGACTGCACAACAGGATGGACCACTGGATAAATTGCTGTGTTCTGTTCATTCTCTCTGAAGCATGTGGCATCAGCTCCTGTCTGAAGACGGAATACTGGGCTAGATGGACCATTAGGCTAACCCACTATGACCATTCTCATGTTCTTAAATATGCTCATACATAACGGAACAGTATAACAGAGTTTTATTGTTCCTCATTTTGGGCGATCTGCAACACCACTTAATATTATCATCCTACTCATGCCCATGAAAAAGTCTTTAAATTGCATCTTTCTGTATTCCTTTTCATTTTATATTTTACAAAGTTTATATATATTTATACACACACACTATACCAGAGGTTTTCAAACTATGAGGCATGCCTCCTGAGAGGGGTGCAGAGGAACATTCAAGTTGGGAGGACTCTGATACCACAGGGGTTAGTAGTCAGGGAGAGAGCATCACCTCTACCTTTTGACTCACTTCTTTGTCTGGGTTTGGAGACACAACCAAAAATTGTATAGAGGGAGCTCAGCTCAAAAAGTTTGAAAATCACTTCACTATGCACAGTGTTATACCTAAGTCCAATTTTAAACCAAAAACAAAACCACACAAAGAAAATAGTTGTATTTTACAGAAAGTCATCTGGTTCTTACTGGGAAAGGAGATAAAATATCAAAATAGGATATTACAGATTCACTGACAATAGAAGTGCACCTACCTTTTAAGTTTCATATAATTTTCACTAGCTGCAGGCCTGCATTCAGCACGTTGAACCACTATTCCTTCCAGTGATAGTTTGTCTTAAATAGAAAGAAACATATTTATTATAGAACATAGATGTATACATTATCTTTTCAACTACTGTCTTACTATTTATGCTCAGTTTAGAAAACAAAACAAATTATTATGTCGGTTCCATTCAGATACTTAGGGAGCTGAAGAATGATACACTTGATATGCGTACCTTATTGCAACAGATTTTGTGTTCCATCTCAACTGTGCCATGGGTATCTTATGTGAAATTGGGCAAGTTACTGACACCAAATTTTTCCACAAGCATCTCTCAAAAATTAGTACCAGAGGCTATGTCTAAACTGTAAAGAAAAACTTGCAGCTGTCCCATGCCAACTACTCAGACTCACAGGCTGTTTAATTGCCATGTAGACCTTCAGGTTCAGACTTCAGCTCAAGATCTGGGACCAGCCTCATAGGGTCCCAGAGCCCAGGCTCCAGCCCAAGGTCAAATATCTTTACTGAAATTATATAGCTCCTTAACCCAAAGCCCTGCATGACCAAGTCAGATAGCATGGGTCAGCCTTGGGTTTTTAACTGCAATGCAGAAATATCCTAAGCAGCTTAAGATGAGTATCCAATCACTAAGGCATCCAAAATAAATAGATACACTTCTAAAACATTTTTGTTCTTACTCTGACTAACTTCCCCATCTATAGAATGGGCACAAAACTTCCCTACCCTACAGGGGTGGTATGAAAAGACACTAATTAAATATTTACAAAGTACCAGGGGTATGTCTAGACTACATCTCTTTATTGCCAGAATGATGTAAATTAGACATACCAACATTGATGTGTGGATTTAAATCTTCCGCGCTTCATTTGAATAAAAATGGCCACCACATTTTGCCGAGTCAGCAGTTTGTCTGCAAAAAGCAGCTGTCAAGACTCTTTCCTTGGCCTCTCTGGATCTGGTTTTATGCAGCATAAGGGATCGGCTGACAAAAGCTTTCTTTGTCACCTAATCCCCGTCTTGAAAGCCGCTTTGTGCTGACAAACTGCTGACTCGGCAAAATGTGGTGGCCATTTTTATTCAAATGAAGTACAGGAAATTTAAATCCCCACTTCATTTGCAATGTCAGTATGTCTAATTTATATCCCTCTGGTGACAGTGAGATGTAGTCTAGACATACCCTAGGATACTATGGCAATGATCAAACAGAAAAGCTAACAGAACATTTAAAAACTCTGTATTAAGTGCAGCAATTTGATGGCATACAGTAAATAAGGTATACAACTGCACATGGAACAGTGAAGATGAAAAGAAATACTGGATAGTTATCTAACTTCATGTGAACTGGCTGGCTTCAGTGGCAGAACACAACAGAACTTCAGCTTTTACCTCAACATTCACATCTGTTTTTTAAACTTAATTTTAATACCTATGAAACGCACACACATCTACTTGTACTTTGTTTTGTTTTTACCTATCCTTTGTATTTCAACCAAGGGCTGCCTTCATTTATACTTTTTAATGATGAAGATAGGAGTAAATAATGCAGAATGGTGTGTGGAGATTTAACAGCCCCACGTAGAGCCAAACTGTCCCCTTCTTAGGAAAGGTTTTTGAAAACTTGGACATAGAACCATCTGAGGAAGAATTCCTCAGATGGGAAGGGCATGAGAGCCTCTAAGTCGTACAGTGCCAGAGGAGCTGCCAGCACAGGAGCAGTCCTGCCTGGACTACTAACTCTCAGTTATTCTGGCTCCAACTTCTCCACACGTGCATGAAAAATCTTCATAGTATCAACAAAGGAATTAACAGTACAGGAGCAGAATCTGGCAACTACCAGGAATGCTGTACCCTGCCATCTCACTAATTTGAGCCAGGGCCAAAGTTGTTTCAGAGACTGGCGTGTTAACTCAATTCTAGAACTGAGTTATCTATCTTCTAAAATAATGAAACAATCCCCTTTCCAAAAGAAATAATACGAAGTTAAAACAAACATTTATGTTGATCTGTAAAAAACAGATTATTGTAAACTGTAATGAACTCCATGTTCGCTACCAACTGTTAGCAGCACACAGGCACTTTGTGCTTGGATGGCAACAAGCTCTTGCCCAGAACATTAGCAATGACTGACAGGGTAGTGCAATGGCACTGTCCAACTCTGGGAAATGAAAAATAATCCTAAAAATCCAAGAGAAGTACTGAAAATAAAGCAAGCACAGGTGACCAATCCATGCCTACAGCATACTTTAAATACCCCCTCCTAACTATGCCCTAATGTCAATCCTCCCTATTGTGTATAGAGAGAACAACACATCCGAATACACCCTTTCTTTAGAGAGCCTAACCTAAAGCAACTGTAACATGATAAAGGATAGCATTTTACTCAGCTCTGAGTGTCCTAATCTTGATATATCAAGCCAAACTCATATCATTATACTCAAATATCCTTCCAAAGGAAAACCCCCTAGGCTCAAGAACCTTAAGATTCACTAACTTGCCTTTGCAAGCTATTGTTTTTCAATGGCTGGATGACTGAATTATTTATTATTGAAATCTAAAAATCTAACTCTGGTCTCCTTAATTACACTGCAGAGTACCATCATCTGACCGCAAGCACTTACTAGGGTTGTATTTACCCCTTTTTTGCTTTGCTTAATAAATGAATAAAAAAAAAAAAAAAAACAACAACCAGAAAGCAGAATTTGGCTTTTCTGACAGTTCTTTATTTTCAGAGCTGAAGTTGTATGAAAACAAATTCTTCTTCCACAGATTCACAGGGTTTAAACACTTTAAGGATCACCTAATCAGATCTACCGTGTACCACTGACCATTAAAATTCACCCAATTATCCTTTATAAAGCCCAGTAACTTTTGCTTAGCTTAAGCATAATTTATAGCAAGGCATCCAGTCTTGATCTGAGGACATCAAGAAAAGGAGAATACTCCATCTCCTTTGGTAATTTGTTTCAATTGTTAACTTCCCTTTGAATATTGTTGATTTTCCAGTCTTCTAAGATTTCTTAAAAATTAATACCAGTGGACCAGAGATTTCCTCAGCCAACACTTAGGACTTCTGGATGCCAATTATACAGATGAGCAGAATTTAAAATGTTTATACCTGGCAGATGTTATCTAACATCCTTCTCAGTTATTAATGGAATGGATTTGTGTATCACAGCTCAGCAGAACTCAATCATCAGACTGTATCTGGTTTTATCCAGAACAGACTAACAGATCTGCTCTTGACTTTCAGTTTAAGAACAGAAAATTTTGGTGCTTGAAAAAGTCTTTTAAAATGCTTACACACTCCCATAATGATCCCACCTTCTTTCTTGCTTCCACATCACAACCCAGGTTAAGCTTTCCACACTGAACATGCACCAGGTTGCTATGTCTGAGTCCCAACAGAGTAGAACTGTATGCTTTTAAGCT